TAGGCTGACCCATACAGGCCATTGCCCTGGGAGGTTCTTTTAAACCTTAATCCTTGAAGAAACTGATTTCCTAAAGTCCCCTTTGAGCAAACATTGGTCTAGATAAATTAGTAAAGACCATTTTGCCTCAGCCATTGTATTCTTTTGAAAGCTGTGCAATGCTCTTTGAGAAACAGAAACTCAATGATCAGACTTGAAGCTCTGTTTTAGACAGTTTCCAAAGTGATGTTGGGCCTAAAACAGGGTATAAGAATCTCAGAAGTTCTTTCTTCTTGAGAACATTTTTTACTCCCTACTCAAACTGTTACCATGATTTGCAAATAGCATATTAAATAAGCAATCAACATAATAGAAGTTGACTGTTTGATATGGTTTTTGTTTTAACAAAAATATGACATCAAAAAATGGGACTCAAAAACCTACTCCCAAGTTTTCTGATTCTTGGAGGAAATCAGGAACAACACTAATAGATCAAGGCTTTTTCCTTTGCTTTATTTTTTTTTAGCACATTAATAACTTTATAACACTAATTACCTGTTGAAACGATACTATTTTCAATATACTGAACTAAATAAACTATGTTATCAAAGTTCCTTTCACTTGTATCTTTTTACCCCATATTGTTGTTGTTGTTAGGTGCCATCAAGCCAGTTTCAATCATAGTAACTTCATGACAACAGAATGAAACATTGTTGACATTTTTCTTTCCTGTGTCTTTTATGACCATTTGCTTATTTGATTTATAATGTGCTGGATGTCTTGGTTTGTCTGGTCTTCAATCATTAGTGTTCAATATGTCAAATCTATTTTTTTGTGTGTGTTGGGGGCCTTAAGAAAAAAAATTGTTTTCTAACAATATAGACCGCTAGAAGTCTGGAGAGCCAGCTCTGGAGAAAGGTCCTTGTCTTCTGAAGCATCTTAAGCTAACCAAAAGGCTTATTAGCACTTTTTGGTTACTTCCTTGTGTCTTGCAATCAAACTTTTCCTCTATCTAGGAGCTCTGGTAGTGTAGTAGTTACAAGTCGGGCTGCAGTTCGAAACTACCAGCAGTTCCGCGAGAGAAAGATGAGGTGTTCTGCTCCCATAAAGATTTACAACCTCAGAAATCCTGTGCAGGGTCACTATGAGTCAGAACCGACTCCATGGTACTTAACAACAGGAGCACCACAGTGCAGGCACTCCTGAGCCAAACAATGTACTCTATTCTTAGCTCTTCTTTCTTGGTGGTTGTATGTCCCTGTGCCCAAATATATTCTTCAGATGGTCTCTAAATTAAGGTGGGTATACGGCACCTAACAACAACAATAGTCAAGGTTGTACTTGCGCTCTTATTGACTTGTTTTAATTATCTTCAGTTTCAACTTGAATTTACACATGAGCAATTGATGGTCTGTTCCCCTGGATGTGCGCCCATTGATGAGACCAAGTTCCTCCAGTATCTCTTTCCACAGATGTAGTCAATTTGATTCCTATGTATTCAATCTGGTGAGGTGTGTATACAGAATCATCATGTGTAGAGCGGTATATATGCTTGTTTTTATGTTGTTGAAAGAAGGTATTTGAAATGAGTAAGTCATTGATCTTGCAAAATTCTAACATGCGGGAAGTCTTGTTTCAAGGTAGCTCTGAACCATCCAAGAAGGCAAAATGAGCAAAGCTCACCCGCTGGAGTTGAAAAAATTTATGGACAAGAAATTATCATTGAAACTAAATGGTGGCAGACATGTCCAAGGAATATTGCAGAGATTTGACCCCTTTATGAATCTTGTAATAGATGAATGTGTGGAGATGGCAACTAGTGAACAACAGAACAATATTGGAATGGTGGTAATACGAGGAAATAGTATCATCATGCTAGAAGCCTTGGAACGAGTATAATAGCTGTGCTAAGAGGAGAAATCAGTGACTTCCATGTATCCCCACTCCAAAGGGGCTGTTTGACTCTGATGTAAAAATCAGGCTGTGTACATTTTTCATATTAAATTTTGTTGTTATTGTTAAATAAACTTTTGTAATAGTAAAAAAAAAAAAAATTCTGCAATCTCTGGCATTGTTTCTGTCACTGTTTTTCCTGCATTTTTCCAATTCTAGATACTTTACCACTCGTCTATCGGTTTGTCGTACTGTGGTGGCTTGTGAGTTGCTGTGATTCTAAAAACTATGCCACAGATATTTTAAATATCAGCAGGGTTACCCATGGTGGGCAGGTTTCAGATGAGCTTCCAGATGCAGACAGACTAGGAAGAAGGAGTGATGAACTACTTCCGAATATTTAGTCACTGAAAACCGTATGAAGAGCAGAGAAACACTTTCAGATATAGTGCTGGAAAATGAGCCCCTCAGGTTGGAAGGCACTCAAAATGCGACTGGGGAAGAGCTGCCTCCTCAAAGTAGAGTTGATCGTGATGACGTGAATGGAGTAAACCCATGGGAGTAAAGCCCACAGGATCTTCATTTGCTAATGGGGCACAGCTCCAAATGAAGAGAAACAGCTGTAAACATCCATTAATAATTGGAACATGGAATGTACGAAGTATGAATCTAGGAAAATTAGAAATTGTCAAAAATGAAATGGAACGCATACGCATCAATATCTTAGGCATTAGTGAGCTGAAATGTTTTTGTTTCCAACTTTTGCATTCCAATCACTAGTTATTATCAATGCATCTTGACTGTGCATTTGATCAATTTCAGAGTGTAGAAGCTAGTAAAAATCTTTAATTTCATTATCATTAGTCATTGGTGTGTAATTCTGAATAGTGGTTGTATTACCTGGTCTTCCTGGTAGGTGTATGGATATTACTCTATCATGGACATTGTTGTTTCAGGATGTTGGTGCTGGTAGGTGCCATTGAGTTGGTTCCAACTCCTAGTGACCCTAATGCACGACAGAATGAAGCACTGCCTGGTCCTTTGCCATCCTCACAATTATTGAATCCATTTTTGGAGCAGCTCATTTGGGGGTCCCTCTGTTTTCACTGACCCTCTTCTTTACCAAGGATGATGTCATTTTCCAGAGACTGGTCCCTCTTGATAACACGTCTAAAGTGCAAGAGACAAAGACCTGCCATCCTCACTTCTGCGGCAGTTTCTTCTTTGTCTAAAGAGCTATACTTGTTTGTTCTCGAAGTGACTTATTGACTCTTTAACACTTCAAAGTGGTCTTCTGCAGTAGATTTTCCCAGTTCAAAATATATAGAGGGAACTTCTACCAAGATGACAGTCTAGACAGACATGCTACACAGACCCTCTACAAAGACATGAGAGACTAAGTAAAATAGATACAAATTATCATCCTGTAACCCTCAACTTCTTAAGAAAGGATAGAGACGTGGATTAAATCCCAACTGGAAGAAAACAGTGAACAAAAGCAGTAAGAGAAGAGACAGTTGGCCTGATGCTACATAGTCATTTTGAACTTTTGAAGGGAGCACTCCATTAAGACAGTGGCCTTATAGCACAAACACTTTGGTGGTTGATGAGGAAAAAAGTAGAATCTTCTCTTGTTCCCCATACCCTCCTGGTGATCAGAAGCATAGTCAGCTCCCACCCTCACCCACCCATTCACTAGACATCCTCTGCCCTGCATAGGTGCTCGTGGATCTGGAACTGGGTGTATCTCCCCCTCATCTGGAAGAGCCTGATTTCCCCTCATCAGACCAGCAGAATGCACAGTGCTAGTCCCTGGCCACTCCTGGGAGGCCCCGAGCTCTTTCTATAACCAGCTGCCTTGCCCTTAGCTGCCTGTGAACCTGTAAGAATTCCTTCTGGGAACAAGCACCCTGACCTAAGCCACCTGAGCTGCCACAAACTCTTTCCAGATCATCCAGGGTCAGGCTTCTATTGTGTCAGTTCCAACTTACAGCAACCCTGTACAGGGTTTCCAAGAGCAGTTGGTGAGTTTGAACTGTCAACCTTGTGCTTACCAGTTCAGTGTTTATTCTAAAGCACCACACCAGGACCAGTTGTTGCTATTCCTAAGTACTGTCGAGTTGGTTCTGCCTCATAGCGACCCTGCACATGGTTTTTGAAAAGCAGCTAGTGGGTTTGAACCACTGACATTACGGTTAAAACCAAACTTGTGGTCCCTTTATCCTAAGATGTCACACCAGGACTCAAAAGTAAAAGGATTTGCTCTGATCAGAAATCTCTGGTCTCTGAAGCACATTAGAAATTTGTTTATCTAACACATTTTTCTGGGGAATATTAGTTTTATAACCTTACTTGATATGGAAAATTGGCATCTAAAAATTCTTAATCAATATTGTTGTTAAGTGCCATCAAGCTGGTTCCGACTCAGAGCGACCCTGTCTAGGGTTTCCAAGGAGTGGCTCGTGGGTTTGAACTACCGACCTTGCAGTTCAAACCGATCTTGTGGTCTGGCACATTATCCCACAGCACCACACCAGGCTTCCTGTTAATCTATAGTTGGTAACTTATCGCTTGTACTGTAATGCATGGAGCAGGCCTGGCTGGCTGTGCCTAATTTTGTGTCTCTTCTACCAAAACTCAGCTGCGACCAGGCCAATGAGACCCAACCTGAAAGCTTTCAGGGACGTACGTAACAGCTGATCTGCTGAGTCTTTGGGGGAAGACTTACCGAAAGTTCAATCTCACTGACAAGCTCTCCCTCTTCCCACCAAGGCCCTTCTGTGTCACAACGGTGCAGAATGGATTTTCTGAAGATGTATCGCGCTAGTTTTAACTAGTATTAATCCTTTTTTTTCTCTCTCCTGTGTTCTTAAAAAGCTTCCTGATTCCAGAAAAAGCCAGAAAGACACACATCCGACATATTTTAAATGACTTTATTAAAGATTATTAATATAAAATACGACCAAGTTACAAGTTGTAAGAATTTGTAGCTTTCAAAAATGTGTATCAAAGAAAGGGCAGCATTTTCAACCTCCATGGCAGCTGCTCTGGTATCCAGGACGGTGTCCCCCGAAGGGGCTGCCTCTGAAGCCCTGCAAGGGGGTAGGTCCCTCAGGTAAAAGGGCAGACTGGTCTCTCATTTCCTTGGAGAGGTTTTGTAACAAACATGAGGTCACCCAAAGCAGTACTCTAGAGCTGGGTTCCAGATACAAAGTGTAGGGGTGGGGGTTAGGTAGGGTCCAAAACCACAGACAGGTTTCAGCTGAAAAGTCTGTGTTTTTTCTCCCCCAGCTCAACAAAAATAATTTCCTGATACATGGGAAAGAAAATGACAAACATACGAGTTTAATTATTCGATACTTGGGCACACTGAATACAAACCCCCGAGAGAGGGGAAAGAAAGAACATTTGCCTAGGCTTTGTCCAGAGTTTGGAAGACATCAGAAGGGATGGAGAGTCCTGGGAGCCAGACCCCCACTCTTCATTCCCTCGGATGCTATGATGTCTGGTACTTCCACAATCAAAGCAAAGCAACCAGGGCTTCCCAGGTTCTGATTCTGACCTTTAACCCTGGGAGGCTATACAAATAGGAACTTGAGCAGCTGCTTTCAACAACGCCCACACCCCCAACGCTCCAAAAACAACTGTAAGGGAATATAGAATATAGGCTTTATAAGAAAGTTAAAGAACAGACAGATCGCCTTGGATCTATTCAAGGACATGGACCTGGTGTCTTCGCTACAAAAACACCACAGTCACATCTACACATCTTTTTTTCCTTTTTTTTTGAAAACAGCTTCCATTTCCAGCGTGTACTACACAGGACCTTGCTGACCATGCAGCTCAGAGTGGAGGGCAGGCCAGGTTGCAGCCCAGCTCTGAGGTTTAACCCAATAGGGGGCAGTTCCAGTTAGGATTTGAAGCTCTTTTCTCCTCATCACAATACAGGAAACCTTTCCCCATCTTCTACAAGAGGGCTTCAAAACATTGGTGGAAAAATGGAATGAAGAGATAATGAAATTTCCCCATGAATTTTTCTGAAGTCTCCTCATATATATCAAATAGGAGCCCTAGTGGTGTAATGGTTAAAGATCACAACTGCTAACCCAAAAGTCAGCGGTTCAAACCCACCAGCCACTCCACGGGGGAAAGATGAGGCACTCTACTTTAATAAAGATTTACTATACCATTATCCCATAGGATCCTTGTGAGTCAGAATCATCTCAACAGCAGGGGATGGGTTTATATATCAGCTGTACTTAAGTAACAGTCAGTAAAAGGAGGAATGTAAAACCCAAGACCCCAGGGGGCCACGTGAGGTTAAGGGACATAAAGCAATTGGCAGGAACCAACCCAAAAGTTGGCTGAGCCTCAGCTTTGGCAAAAACTTTCCTAGAAAAAAAATTTAGTTACCATGTCTTTATCTTGGAGCCAGAATAAAATATTCCAGAAATAACTGTAGATGGTCCTATGGCACAAAAAAAAACAAAACACACTTGGGTGTTGAAACCAAACACTCACCAGCAAGGGCTCAAAGGAATTAAGGCTTCAGGTGAGGAGGACACAGTGAGAGGAGATTTGTAAGTCATGTTGCGTTAGGGTGCCCGGCTCTCCACAGTACTTCCTGCAGCCTCGCAGCTGAGGTGCACTGGCCAGGACACCATATGGGAAGGCCACACTCCTTGCCTGATTGGAGCATGGTCCACTTGCTCCACTGGGCAACCAGGCATCTCTTGCCACAATCACTGTCCCCAGAGCAGCTAGGAACAGAATGACAGGCAAAGTACAGCTCCAAGGGACACCCTCACTTTGATACCACCACAGCCTCAAGGAGTTAAGCAATGTACATCTGCTTTTGTACTTCTAGTAGTGGTCAGGGTGGGGAGGGTCCATCATGGGGGAGGCTGAGCAGTCATTGGAGTGAAGGACGCCGCTTCCACCTGGCAGGCTCTCGATGGAATGTTCGAACCCAATTCATCAGAAGTCTGACCTTTCCATCAGTTCTTTCTGTTGATGCCCAGTATGGGAATAACAAACAGGTCACAGAAGTAACAAAGAATTCCAAAAGGACATTGGTATCAAACAAGAAAAGTGGCTGCTAAATCTAGATACAAAATAATGAAAAGTTAATACAAAACTTTTAAACATGCAACTTCTGTTAAACAGCTTCCATATGTACTAGGTTACGGATGAGCTTTACCATGTTTGAACTATCTGAATCCACGAAAAGATGTCAGGGTGACAAGAAGCCCATAATATAAAAAGTGTGGTTTTAGCAAGAGAATCCCTGGACAGGCAAAGCATTGAGAGCTTTAGTCAGGGCAAAGCCCCCCATGGTCACAGCCATGATGCTGATGTAGGGTGTCATCACCCCATTCATTAAAGGGGTTCAGGAGAAGGAGAGAGAGATCATGCCACGATCTCTGTGGCATGATTGAGAAAACTTTCTTGGAGGAGGGGAAAAACTGTGTGGAGCTGGGAACAGAAATTCTGTTTCCAATACTGACTGAATTCCTAACAGTCTTTACAAATTTCAAATGTAAGACTGATCTGATCAAATCACTGAAAATGACATATGTATCTGGAGCTTACCAAAAAAGGAAAAATCTAGGCAAGAAAATATTTAACAATTCCCCAATGGTTAAGAGAAGAGTGTACAGGAATCAGAGAGCTACATAAGAAAAATGCAGCCTGCTTATCCTCCTCCGCCATGCCACTTTGGAAAGCCTTTGGGGAGTCTTGGTTTTACTTATTATTACATTTTACCAATTGTCCAGAAAATCAAATCCCGTCTTCAAGATGACATTGCTGGAGTTGACCTGCAGAAGGAAAAAAACACAGAGTATTATTACAGTTATGCATAATCTAAAAACAGCACCTCATTTAAAATGACCCAAATGAAGCCGCCTTCTTCCACCCCAGATGCTCCCTGACCTCAGAGGATCTCAGTCATTAGAACTAGAAAATGACATAAACTCACTGCAAGCCGCACAGTGCCGGCATCCAACCTCCCTCCCTCCCCACGCTTCTGCGAGCAGCCTGCAGACCTACCTACGGAGCAAAGGAGACAAAGACAGTTTTCCTATTTGTGAACGAGATGTGTTTCCATTTATTCATCATGAAAGAAGAGAACAAATCATAAAGGTATTCTTTCTATTCTATTCACAGACACACACACACATAACACCATAACCAAAAATAACTCATAAATTTGAGGAAAAGATTTAAAGTTTATTTATTTCAGATGATGTCAAAAAGATCTGAAGTGATTTTCTCTAATCTAGAAACATTCTTGGGGTCTAGGACAGGGGCGGAAAATGTCTGGCCCGTGGTCCTCGAAATCATTTGGTCTGGCCCTGCCAAGGCAACTGCAGTTCCAGCCATCACATTGGTTGGTTGGTTGGTCGTGTGCCATGGAGTCAGTTCCGACTCATAGCGACCCTGCAGAGGATTTCCAAAGCTATAAATCTTTACAGGAAAGCCTCACCTTTCTCCTGCAGAACTGCTGACAGTTTCCAACTGCTGATTGTGAGCTCAGTAGCCCAACTCGTAACCACTACACTACCAGAGCTCCTTAGCCATGACATTACGAATGAGCTAATTAAATGACCAAATATAGCAGGCTAGTTTTTAAGGTGATAATTTTGTGTGGGCTATGAATGATGTTACAAATATCAAATTGGCCCTTGGAAGTAAAAAAGGTTCCCCATGCCTGGTCTAGGATAACCCACTTAAATGAAATAGGGCTTGATAAAAGGGGCCCTCATGGCACAATGGTTAAGTGCTTAGTTCCTAGCCAAAGGTCAGTGGTTTGAGCCTACCAGCTGCTCCATAGGAAAAAGATTTACAATTTTGGAAACCCTATGGGGCAGTTCTACTCCGTCCTTAAAGAGTATAACTTAAGCATTGCAATCAACTCAAGAGCAATGCATTTGTTTTTTGGGCTTTTGCTGAATGTGAGCTGTCACCAGCTGCTGCTAGGTTTATTGACATTCTGACAGGGTTCCGCTAAGCAGCCTGGTTTAAGATGCCCTATCTGGTAGTGGAAGAAAGATGAGGCTTTCTACTCCCGTAAAGATTTACACCCTCGGAAACCCTGTACAGCGTCGCTATGGGTCGGAACCGACTCGACAGCACTTAACAACGACAACAACATCTGGTAGCGTAGTGGTCAGCAGTTCGAAACCACCAGCTGTTCCGCGGGTGAAAGATGAGGCTTTCTGCTCCCGTAAAGATTTACAGCCTTGGAAACCCTGTACAGGGTCACTATGAGTCGGAACTGACTCCACGGCACATAACAACAACAACAACAACATTCCTTCCATATAACACAAGCAGGTCTTCATCTCTGTTACTCCTGAGTAAGGAAACTTTGGCAGTCATCCTTCAAGAGCCTGGCAAAGAGAAAACATTCATGAAGCGGCAAGGGCAGGGAAGGAGCTGAGCAACTTAGCCCGGAAAATTGGATCAAGTTTCGCTGCACCTGAGGTTAGGGCAGTGCGCTGGAACCTGCAAAACCAATGGTGGCCACTCCAAGTCTCCCTTTCCTGAGTTTCTCTGTTTCTTAAATGCTAGGGCAGTTCACTCTGCTTTGCTCTCAGCAATCTGTTGTTTAAAGGAATTATTTGTGCTTGCCCCTTCTTTCCACCATCCCGGCACACACACTTTCCTGTGCCTCCTTCTGGTTTATATAAATGCTTCCTTCAGACCTTCAGAGGAAGACTTCAACTCCAGAGTGTCAGAGTAAGAGGACTGCTGAGGGAGAAAGGTACATCAAACATGTTTGTCAAGAGGAGCCAGGAGACCAAAAGATTAGAGAGGCAAGAGGTAACGAAAAGGAGGTCAGACAGGGGGCTGCCTTAGAAATCAGAAGCCAGAAACAACGGCAGAACAGGACCAAGGACAGCCACCAGACACTGCGAAGATCATGGACAGCTGTTCTTCCAAGAGCACAAAGGGACAGACGTGGCTGATCCCTGAGCGTGGGCTTTCAGCTTCAGAACTACGAGATGATGCATGTCCCTTCTTTACAGACACCCTCTTGTGGTATACCCTCATGGCAGCACTGAGCCATTAAAGGAGTCCTGGTGTGGTACTGTAGGAAAAGCAACAGACTGCTAACACAAGGTCAGTGGTTCAAATCCACCAGCCACTCCTCCGAAATCCTAGACGGGGGTCACTATGATCCAGATGGAACTCAACAGCACTTAACAACAACAACAGGCAACTAAAAACCAAAACTCCAAACCCACTGCCAACAAGTCGATTCTGACCCATAGCGACCCTATGGAAGGACATAGTAGAACCACTCCCTATGAATCTTTGCAGGTGGACAGCCTCCTCGTTCTCCTGATGGGTTTGAACTGCTGACCTTGCCATTAGCAGTCCAGTGTTTAATCCATTATGCCACCAGGACTCCTTATTAGACAACCAAGACATTCCATAATCATGTGAGCCAGTTCCTCGCAATCCATCTACTCTCTCCTACGATTCTGCATTAAGGGGACACAACCTCCGTCCTCACAGCCTCCTGGTGTGGAGTGGTATCTATACCTCTGCACCACCCTCTGCTCCCAAGCTGGCACGACTGAGTCTGTCCTCCTTCCCACCTCCCGTCCGGCTATCACCTCACCCCACACTCAGCCTTCCAGAGCAGCATTCTGTTGTTTTGTGGGTCCTTGTACTAGCGACAACCAAAGTAAGAACAAGCTATGGTTCCCACAGAGGTCACTGACACTGAAGCAGACAGTTGGGCGATTTGGTCTTTAACCCAGACACCTTTCTTCTACGGCAGACACTCTCCTGAAGGTCAGGTGCTCCTCTCCCTCGCCTGGAGGCCAAGCGCCTCACTACTGGCATTGTCCACAAAGTGTCCACAGCCCTGCCCACACCCAGTCTGGCCCCACTTCAAAGAGCTGCTCCGTGTCTCCTCACTCGTGTCTGGCCCGCCACTGCTCCCTAGCAGTCCACCAGCTTCCTGATGCTGCACTGTGTCTTCCTTGTTATAATTCTAGGCAGCAGCTGAGTTATAAGCCCCACTTGGTCCTCAGTGGAGACTAGGTTACCTCTTGGATTCTGGGTGTAAGTTTACATACTTACAAGTCCTGTCCCATGGTAATTTGCACAACATGATTCTTTTCCACCAACACATGAGATGAATTCTAAGCAGCAAGCAGCTGGTCAGAACTGGCCTCACACCCACCCTTATTTCTGAACTCAAGTCCCCAGAGGTTACCCTGGGGAAGGCAACAGTGGACTCTGGTGCATACACTGCCAGAGAGCATCCTGGAAGCTCCAGTTCAGGGCCAGCAACGGGAGGTGAGGGCTCATGGGAGAAGCGCAGCTTCCAGACCCCTTGTGCCTTCCCTCTGGCTGTCCTCACCTGGTGAGCAGGTTTGCCTCTCCCCACCCTGCCCTTCTCTCCGTCCCTCAGGGACTCAGTAGGCACCCTGACTCCTTCAAAACAGCTCTGAGGGAGCAGAAAGCTCCATTGTTGCCCAGCACCACACCAGGTATTTCTACTGAACATGGCACAGTGCGCGGAAGCAGCGCTGCCCCACTGCCAAGGTGGGCAGGTGCAGAGTGGGCACAATCTCTCCCTCTCTCCCAGAGCTGGTGCTCATGCCACATTCTCATGTGCTGCTCTGCTTACTAAATAATGCTGCCTCCAACCAAGGGCTCCCTCTCAAACACAATGACTGACGGGGGAGGGGAGAGGTCGGATAACTCTCCAACAAATGTTCCGTTTAAATCAGAAATTTTCTTTCCTCTTAAGATATTCAAATAATAATAATAATAATAAACAGAGGGAATAGAAGCAAATACTGTTAAATGGTGATGCATGGAGGGGATTGCAATCATTGTAATAAAACAAAACACCATAGGATAAGTGCAAAACTGATATTCTCCCATGTAAACTATCACTCAATTCACAATTAAAAAAAGAATGAACTAAACCTGTAAATGAATAATTAAAACAAAATCTTGTGTTGTTTTTTTTTTTTTAAAGAGAAAAGATACTCAAATCAATCAGTAAAGAACAATTATTACCATTTTCTCAAAAAATGGGGTGGGGGGGCTTAAAAAGCCACCTACATGGTTTCCTCTTATCCAGTCTCTCCTGCCTGCCCTGCCCACACTGACTCAGTGACCTCCCAGATACCCTCAGATCTTTACTTTGCTTCCCCACCATCCAATGGGAGCACTGGTGTCCTCAAGAGTCCTTCCTGGAGCCCTATCTCTGCCCTGGTGGAGAGGGAGCATTCCTACCTGCTTCCTTGGCATCACTTCCATACCCAAAGTCACAACCAGGCTCATAGATCCCCTCCAGTCGGGCAGGTGTCCAACTACCTACAATCTGCCAGCTCTCTCCTCCCAAGCTCCTTGTTCACACCCCAGCTCACGACCTCTTCCTTGCAGTCAAAAGAGTCAAGAGGAAGACGAACTCAATTAACCCTTTACACTGCCCATGGGCCAGGCTGATGAGTAGTCCAGCTCTCCTGACCTCACAAGCACTCTGGGGAGGAGGCAGGGATAAAGGAGGAGGAAGGGGCTGGACAAAGGTCCACTCCAGACGAAGGGATCTGAAGTAGCATCTTACCAGGCTACCCACCTGTGCAGGTGTAGGCTCGGAGATCACAGCCTGCCCCCCATCCTCCTGACTGGCATCAGGGGTGGGTGGCTTCCTTACGTGCTCGGCAGGGATGGCTTCCCGTGGTGGGCTGACAGGCACCTGTAGGGGCAGGGGTCTCTCACGCTCGCTCCCCGGGCCAGGGTCGGAGAGGTCATGTGACTCCTGCCGAGGGCCGCTCGGTCGCTCCGCCTGGGTCTCCTTGTCCTTTGGGGCAGGTTCTTGCCGAAGGCAGGCAGACACAACCTTCTCCCCCTTCTCCATAGACTTGATCTGGCTGGGGGTCAGCGAGTGGAACTCTGCCTCAGGCCCCTCTACCCGGGACCGCTCAGCATTGATCTTCCAGAAGGCCGCCTCCTCGTCCTTCCGTATGAGCCCCAGCGAGTCTGGGCCGGGGGCCTTGCTGCCCTGGGAGGCCTTGAGGGCCTGTGCAGCACTGCCTGGGTCTTGCACAGACAAAGATGAGATGCTGAACTCCATCTGACTCTGGTAAAGGGGGTACGGGGGAGAAAGAGACAAGGTGTGAGCCTTACAGTCAGTTATAAGATAACTCTTTGCCCGCATTGACACCAGACAGTTAAATCAGCCTTGTTATCATTCTTTGCCTACCACATACCTGAAACACACTGGAGCTTGGAGCTCCAGATCCTTCCCAGCCTGTCACTCTACTGACAGATCTGAGCCCAGGAATCAAAGCAACAGGGAAGGCTCGGTGCTTGGCAGGCAGCATCCTCACCTGTGTGCTCCAGGCGTTCCCAGTGCCTGCTGCCCAGGAGAGCTGAGGAGGACCATGCCTGCCTTTTCCACCCAGGAAAATGGGAGAGCTGGGCCTGCCACTCAACGTGCTGGAACTCAGGGCACCTCCATGTATGTCAGAGTACAGCTGTGCACCGGGGGTTTCAATGGCTGATTTTTCAGAAGTAGATTACCAGGCACTTCTTCCTAGGTGCCTCTGGGCAGACTCAAACCTTGGTTAGTAGCCAAGTACTTAACCATTTGCACCACAAGGAAATCCTGTAGCACTTAAGTGAGGGTGAAACCTAGACCCCATCTCTTAGGCACCGCCTTCACTGGACCTGTGGCCATGGCCAAGGGTAGAATAAAACCAAGGGGGTCATACAGCCCCACTACGGGGCTGAATACAGCTGCAAGACCTTGCCCAAGGCCCCACCTTAGTGCAGTTGCTGCTAAAACTACTTCTCACCCTCCACTCCTGCCAAGCCTTCTTGTCTCCAGAGAGACGCCCCGCTCGGCAAGTGATGTGACCATGCCACCTGATTCCAGGTCCTAGAGACTGGATACAGTCTAAAAACACCCAGGAGTCCTGGTGTGGTGCTGCGGGATAACACACTGGACTGCAAGGTCAGTTTGAACAGCAAGATCGGCAGTTCAAACTCAGCAGCTGCTCCTCGGAAACCCCATACAGGGTCACTATGAGTCAGACCAACTCAACCACACTTAACAACATAAACATCCAGTGGGTGGGTGATTCAAGTGCTTGGCACAGCCAGGCAGGCACTTGAGTGCAAGCACAATGCTTCTACTGGCCAGCTGCAGCTCATCACTGACCTCCAGAAATGGCCATTCTAAGCTGTTCTGGCCTGCTGTTGTTAAATGGGAATTGAACCTCGGCAGAGTACACTGGACAACGTACACCAGGCTCCGCAGAATAGCAATGTGTGATGTCAATCGTCTCTAAAAATCAATCTGGCAAATATCCCTCCTCCTGGCCACTTCTACTTCTTCTTTCATCCCCCCTGCTACTTTGTTAAATAACCATTATAAAACCACATTACAGAAAGCTGGAAAGGTAGAAAAGGGGAGAAGAAAGTATTAACCATAATGAATCTCTCTTCCCACAATCACTGCACATTTTTGTACTTCTGTGCATATTTTATGAGGTGATAGTTCTGCATGTAATCTGTTTGGACACTGCCATTTAATCCTAAATTGTTATGCACATAGTCTTTATAACCATTATTTATTTTATTTTTTAATGTTTTATTGTGAATTACATGATAGTTTACAGG